TATTTTTTTCTTATAATAGATATTGGTTAATGATATCAAATGTTAGTATAATCTTGTGGTGCACACATTTTTTTGACTTCCTTTTAGTTGGTTATATGTAAATTAGTTTCGCTCGCCGAGTGTTTTAACTATCGTATCATGAATTATGTCGAATGAGTCACCGGTACGCGGTCCAACCAGATTTACTGTCTATTTTATCAATTTTGATAAATATTAATTTAATTTATTTTTATATTATAAATAATGAACAAAACCAACTTTAACAAATATTAAAATTGATTAAAATCTAATAACAATGTAAGACATATTAAAACTATGTAGAACTTTGTAAATAAGTTAATAAAAATATAAAAGAGAAAAAACATTTTTTAAACAAAATCTGGTATATCATGTATTTTGACCAAAATGATATTTAGAGTGTTATCGTACTGGCCGGACCATCGGTATCCGATATTCCTTGTAATAAATATTTAAAATATTGTGTTCACATACAAACATAAATAACAATTTGTTTATTTTGTTAGCAAAAGTTTCTCTGTGATTTTGAACATTAGCATGTTGATTATTACAAATTGTACTATTAATTAAGTGTATTTAGGTAATTAGCAGATATAATTTATAATGTTTATATAATTACTGTGCATTTATATTTTATACCAGCTTCCTTGTAAGTATTCGATGAGTTTAAAGTTGCCACTTGGAATCATATTTTAAGTACCAAGCTAGGCGGACTTGCGCGCCACGATTTTTACCAAAGCGTCCATTCTAGGTGTTAAACATCATAATTGCCATTATACAAAGTAAAATTTAGCATAATGGTATTAAATTAATTCCTTAAACTTTGAAAAAAGTAATATGATTAAAAATTATTATGTTCATGTATAACACTCTAGCGTCATTTTAAAACTAATAATGCAATTTGAAAAGTTTTTTTTTTTTTAAAAAAAATTATGTTTATTGTTTAAACATATTGATTTAAATATTTTTTAATTCAATACCCATATAGTACACGGATATTGTACTAGTAATATAATTAAATTGCGTTCTACTTTTTTTTTTAATTTACATGGAAATTGGTTAGTTTTTTGTATATGACTCTATTTGAAGGGAAGCAATATTGGTATATCTGCAATGGTTTTTTTTCCCCCACAATGACAGAGGATTTTATATCACCAAATGTACAAATAATACAATTCAGAGAGCCAACTAGCCTAATCAAAACAAAAATACAATGAAGTACTACATAGACAAGGTGACCTAAATCACCAATACAAAACATCTAAGAACAAACACTACGCAAGGTCTAGAGGCAAGTAACAAGTACCGAGTCATCTAGCACACATACAAAATAGACAACCAAAGCACAAACTAGCATTCTCGGACACAAATCCAAGGATCAAGGAGACCACTGAACCACAAGGACCTAGTTACCCCTCCTTCCTCAGTGCCTACTCATTTTGGATCTGTTTCCCTAGAAGTTCGTGCATTTCTTGCAAACCCGAGTGAATAATGATTTTATCACGGTTCTAAAAATCGGCCTAGGCGGCGCCTAGGCGCTAGGCGGTGTCCGGCCGCCTCCAATTTGCACAAATCGGCCGAAAAAATCGGCCAGGCGGCGCCTAAGAGCCCTAGGCAGACTTGGCAAGCTCGACAGCCAAGTGGTTAGGCGGCGCCTAGACAGGCATAGGCGGATCTAGAAGCTTCTAGGCAGGCTCGGCGGCAATTTTCAGGTTTTTTTTAAATATTAATTAGATTATTTTGTTATCATATTTTCTTTAAAATATATTAATATAATTATTTGGACTTATGTGTGTGAATTTATTATAAGATGAGATAGTTTTATTTTGTAGGTAGTTAAAATAAATAAAAAATAAGGTATTTAATATTGATTTCTAGGCCCCGCCTAGGCGTTGGTCGAGCGCCTAACGGCTTTTAGAACACTGGATTTAATCAAGCACCCACACTCATTCTATGAAACTTTCAAAGATTATGAGACTTCCAGAGCCACCATAAGATATAGGTGGTAAGCTGGATTCTTTCTTCAGAAGTCTCTTTGTGATCAATTGAGCAAACACCCCACTGCCATTCCTTGAAATTTCTAGTAAACATCCTCATCCCGTCCGAGTTGATTGGATCCAATATCCAAATTCTATGAGCTCTGCTGCACCCAAAGAACAGATGCTCAACTATTTCATCCTCTTCCCCACAGGTATGATACATACTATACACTTTCAGTCATCGCCTCCTCAGATTTACGTAGGTTGGTAAAACTTCAGAATAGCATTACCAAACAAAATGCTTCAACTTCCCTTTGATCTTCAGTTTCCAGCTCCTTTGCCTAAATTTCTTACTCTTCTCTACAGATTCATTCCATTCAGCCACATCTAGCTTTCTGAATTTCTCCACCACAATATTTGAATAGGCATTGGCTACTGAAAGTATTCCTTGAGCATCACAGTTCCATATCCATCTAACTTTTAAACAAGGGTTTAGAGTTCTAATTTTCATAATTGCCTCCTTATCAACATCACAAAACAAACCACTTACTTAAGTCTGATTCCACTTTCTGCCGTCTTTCTTCAGAAGTTCCTATATCCAATTCACATTGATATCAGCACTTCTGACTGAGTAGATGATATCCAAGGATCCTACCGAATTCTAGTGTGCAACCCATCCATGATCTCAGTTATGAAGTAATGCTTGTAGATATTTTTTTAATATTAGCCCAAGTATTCCAAAGCCAAGAAGAACATACAACGAAAATGAGCTAAGTCGAAGATCTGAGTAGTCTTGTGAGTGGTTGATAAACTGAGATTTCATCTTTAGGAAGTCCCATAGTTGTGAGGCTTAAAAGACAAAGAAAACGGTGGATATGTTTATGGGTTACATGTGTTGACCCTAATGAATCGATTATCAAAGGGGCTCTCAGCTACATCAACACTCAAATTTCATCCCTTGAAGCAAGCAGGCAATCGCACTCAATTACATCGACTCTAAAAGCATCAAGTTTTGGTAATGATTTTTTTAGATATTGGCACGAGGCATATCTACAAGCCAAAAACATCAATAGTTTCTCATATATGATCTGCTACGGATCATTGGGCTTGTTTTGCTCTCATTGAGAAAAAGGCAACTAAAGTTTAGATATTTCATTTCTGGCTTTCTCGTTGGGACTGATTTTCCATCATTTCCAAGTAACTAAAGGCCAAAGTATTTACCTTTAAGCAATTTGCTTACCAAGAGATTTGGTTTGGTTGCAACTCTCCAAATCTGCTTGAGTATTAAGGCCTCCTTGAATAATTTTAAGTCCTAGAATCCCAGACCACCTACTTCTTTGGAGATTGTCACCATATTCCAAGCCTTCCAGTGTATGTTAGGTTGCTGATAAATAGGAGCAAGACATAACAAATATCGGGAGGGCATTAAGAACAAATTTCATATGCACTTCTTTGCCAGCAGTTGATAAAAGTTTATTCTTCCATCTCACCAGTTTATTTCTTACAATATTCGAAACAAAATCAAAAGTTTCTTTCTTTAATTTCCCAATACCTAGAGGCAACCATAGGTATCTTGATGATCTCTAAACTTGAATACCATCAAGAATCATACGAATTTCCCTTTGCTTTTCCCAAGGAACATTCCTAGTAAAATAGATAGAGGATTATCGTAGATTTAGCTTCTGCTCTGTAAAAAGGTTATAGTTGTTCAAAATGCTTAGAATAAGTTGAGCTTGAGTGCAGTCTACCCTACTAAACACCAAGGAATCATTAGCGAACAAAAGATGGGTTAACTGTGGCCCCTCTCTAGAGATTTTTAGCCCTTGGAAATTGCCTCTCACTGACTCAGGATTAATTAATTTGGAGAGCACTTCAGAGACTAGAATGAAAAGGTAGAAGGATATAGGATACCCTTGCCTAATACTCTTGAGGAATTGATGAACCCACACACTTCACCATTCATGGTGAAATAAAAAGAAGCAGTAGACACACAAGCCATAGTCCAGTTGACAAAGAGTGAATGAAAACCCATTTTCAACAAAATCTTCCTAATGCAATTTCACTTTAACCAGTCATTGGATTTAACTATGTCTAGCTTAATTCAATATAGCCTTTCTTTCCTGATATATGCCCATTTAAGAAGCGCACTGCTTCATGAGCCATTATTACATTGTTAAGTAACTGCCTACCTAGAGTAAAGGTTGTCTGGTTTTCACTAACACAAGAATGCAAACAAATTTTTAGTCTAGAGGCCAAGATTTTAGAGATGATTTTGTGAGCTACCCCACATAGACAGATTGGTCTAAAGTCACTAAGGATTACTGGATTCAAGCATTTAGAGATAAGATTTATAAGAGCGTGATTCCAGTTCCTAAGGGTGTGTTTATGGTTAGTTGTTAGTGCAGTTTAGATTTTATACTAAAATAATATTTAAAATAAAATAATTAAAGTTGATTTGATGAAAAAGTATGACAGAGATGATGTAAAGTGATAGTTAGTTAAAATTATGTGAGTGGATAAGTAGTAAATTAAAGTTAAAAATGATAAAAAAAAATGCGAGTGGCAGATATGAGAATGTTGAGATGGATGTGTAAGCATACTAGGTTAGATAAGATTAGTAATTAAAGTATTAAAAATAAGGTTGGGATAGCGCTCATAGAAAAGAAAATGAGAGAATATGATTTGAGCATGTACATAGGAGAGACTTCGAGACCCAAGTGAGAAGGATAGAAACATTAGAATTAAAAGAGAAAGGTACCTAAGAAAACTTGGAAGGATAAATGATTTAAAATATTTTAATTTGAATGAGAATATATGTTGTGATCGAGCACGATGGGACATATGATCTATAGCCGACTCCACTAGTAAAATTTTAACGTCTTGCTGATTGATTAATTGAATGCTTACATACATTGTGCTTTTACTACTTAATCTTTTACCTATCATGCATGTTTTATGGTTTAACATTTGGCCAATATATGAATTTGAGCAAGCCAAGTATCATTTACATAATCACAACACACCTTCATTTATTGCAAAGAATTTCATTGAATATTGCACTATATACTATTACAACTTAATCAGTTACTAGTTGAACCTAATGATACAGAAAAGGAGAGTGCATAAATTAAAGAAGTGCTTTTGCATTGGCACTGATGAAAGCACAAATAATTTAATAATAACCACATCACCCACGAAAAGTAATAAAAATTGATTTTCGGAAACTAAATAAATATTTCCCAATTTTATTATTAATATAAATATTAAGACTAAATTAAATTATATATATCAAGTAGATGACGGCAGTGCAGCGAGTTTGGCTCTGAGTTCTTTCCTCAAAATTTTACCAGCTGGGGACTTGGGAATTGCATGAACAAAGTACACTTTGTGCAGTCTCTTGTAAAACACCACCTGCATTTTCCACCCCAACACTATTAGTAGGACAGTTAAAATCTGATTACTCGATTTTGTTCCTTGCATGCTTTAATTAGTATTTTTCATTTTGATGCGTTTTAAAAGAAAACCTGTTTGGAGATGAATTCTTTGATAGCTTCTTCGGTGAGATGAGAGCCTTTAGCCGGGACGACAAATGCCACGGGGACCTCACCAGCAGCCTCGTCTTTTTGGCTGCACCATTCACGTACATATATAAAAAATTCCTTATGATCATATTTGATCTTATGTAAACCATTAAAATATAACATAAGTTACCAATAAAAAAAAAAATACTCCCTCCTATTCTTTTAAAGTCATTTGGCTTTATCAACCATTAACCAAATAAACGACGTTTTGGATATTTTATAAATATTTTTTCATTATTACCCTTATTTAGCTAATAAATACACTACTGCTTTTCATATCCACTCTTAATTCACACGTTATTAATTTTCATTAAAGAAGGTTATTATTGATAAAAAAAAAGATTATTAATCATTGTGCAACTTCTCAAAATGACACATATTATGAACAGGAGAGATTATATATATATATATATATATATATATAGGGAGGACTTACGGGACAACAGCAGCATCTGCTATATCGGGATTGGTGATGAGAAGGCCCTCCAGCTCGGCAGGCGGCACCTGAAAGCCTTTGAATTTGATAAGCTCCTTGACTCGATCCACTATGAAAACATCATCATCATCGTCAACGTACCCAATGTCTCCCGTGTGGAGCCAACCCTCAACGTCTATAGTTCTTGCAGTTGCCTCATCGTCATTCAGGTACCCTGTGTGTGAGTAAATCAAAAATAAAATCTCTAAATCACGATCAATTTGGAGTAATTAATTAAGAAAAATGCTATAGGTACATAATATTGTACATAAGAGTGTACATAATACTCACATTGAGTGAGACCCACCAAAAATAAAAAAATCAAGTGGACCCCACTCCATGTGAGTGTTATGTACACCTCTATATACATTTATTATGTACTTGTAATATTTTTCATTAATTAATCAACTCATTAATTATTTATTACCTTTCATGATCTGAGGCCCACGAATGCAAATCTCGCCAGGCTGGTTGCGCGGGAGTGAGCAACCAGTTTCTGGGTCGACCACCTTCAGCTCGGCATTGCGGACCACATTTCCGCACGACCCTGACTTGGTTGGCAACGGGTGCTTTGCGAATGATGGGGACATTGATAGAACTGGGCCGGCCTCAGTCATCCCATAACCCTATTCAATCATTCATCAAAACAGCTAACAAGGTTAAACCCCTCATATAATAAATTGAATGAGGTAATAAATTAAAACAGAAGGAAAATTTTAAGGATCATCATGTATTTATTTTGTAGGTAACCGTGAGAATATCTGTATTTTCTAAGTGTGTGGAGTGATTTGGAGCGAAGATTTTCACGAGGTACAGAGTAGTTGGATTGCGATCGTATGTAACTGAACATATGCCATAAATGTTTGTCCAACCTATTTATAACAACAATTTTTATTATGGAAAAGTTGTTGTAATTTTTTATTTATTTATTCTTTTACCTCATCAACAAAGTTGTTGTAGTTTTTAAGGGAAATAGTAGAGTATTGTAAAGTTGTGAAATGAGTGGTTAATGGATCAATTGTTTGCTAAGAGCATATTTTTCAGTGGTATCTTGTCCATTATGAGTTGCATGACATAAAAGAAGGAGATTAAGAAATGGTGTCTATAATTGTTAATGTTAAATATAATTTAATTTGACATGTGCAAAATTATAATTAATTGAAAAATAGAAAGAAATTAAATAAATTCTATAATATATAATAAAAGTTGTTTAGAAATACTTCTAGGCCACCTAGGATGATTTGTGTCATTGAAACAAAATGAAAGAGAATTGGAGATGCTTTGATAAAGCATATGAAAGATGGGAAAGTCACGTAAAATAAGCTCAAGGCGGGTAAACTTCCACGTAACAATTGTTGAACAAACCCACCCGCTAGACCACAATATGTACACGTTTTTTTATAAATGAAAAATTAAGAAATTAAAAAAATACAAAGAAATAAAATCATATTTGACGTCGTCGTACGTAGACCAAAGAATGGCAAGTTGATAAAAAGTCAACCCTGAGGTTGGTGACACGCGAATTACACCTTGTACTTGTATGAGTTCAACATATGAGTTCTTAAAAAACAGTTTTTTTTTTTTTTTAAAAAAAAAAGATGCTCGCAACTTGGAATTAGTTGGCCTCGTGTACGTACATGTGGTAGCCAATCAATTAACATTTTCACGTGCACATTAACTTCGTGGGCTGTATTTGCTATATACGAGCAATACAAATAGCATATGCTTAAACAACCAATTAAAAAAAATGTATATCTGATATGTGGTGGACATATCACATAGATTAGATAAATAAACTATTCCACCAATAATGAACAAGAATAAAAAATTGTGGTAGATATCATATCCCAATTATTAATTATGAACCTGAAAATTAAGCATAATATTTTTATGCACAGATTTGCATCGTCGGGATAAAATATAAAATAATTTTCATTAGAAAAACAACGCACTTATAGACCTAACCTCCTCCATCACAATTTTCCTTGGCATACCCACACACCTAACAGCCTCTCCTCCATCACACTTGAAGCTTCACCTACCTCCTCTAATTCAATTCCCACCCCCACAAATATTAAATTTAGAAATTCAATGCCACCGATTCTTTATTAAATATCTCAAATATTAAATTAATAAAACTATTTGATTTATTCAGAGACACAAAAATTTCATTTCAATGCATTTACGATATAGCTCACCGAATTTAGAGGAGATCATTCAAACCACGTGACAACAACTTGAGATTTAATTTAATTTAATTTAATCTAATTGAAATCCGAAAAACGTGGACCGTACCTGACCCAAAACCGCCTGAGGCAGGCGCGTGAGCAGCGCGGCCTCCAGCTCCTTCCCCAAGGGCGCCGCCCCGGACAACACCATCCTTATAGAACTAAGGTCAAAACTGTCCACCATCGAATTCTTCGCCAGCGCCAGCACCAGCGGCGGCACCACCGCCGCCACCGACACGCGGTGTCGCTGTATAAGCTCCAGAAGCGACCCAATCTCGAATTTGTGCATCAGCAAGACAGCCGCCCCTGCCCTGAGCGAGCACAGTAGCACCGAGTTGAGCGAGTAGATGTGGAACAGCGGCAGCACGCATAGAACAACGTCGTCCGGCCTCAGGTGCAGATTCGGGTTCTCCCCGTCCACCTGCTGAGCCACGCTCGCGATCAGGCTCCCGTGCGTCAGCACCACGCCCTTGGGCAGCCCTGTGGTCCCGGACGAGAAGGGCAGCGCCACTGCATCCTCTTTTGGCTTGATCTCCACATCAGCTGCCACGTCCTTCTCGTTCGCCTTGGAAAGCTCGGAAAAATGCAGGCACCCGTCAGGCGCTGGGCCGTCATCTACCGTCACTACCTTAAAATCCTCCCCGAAGACCCCGTCACTGTGACGGAGCTTGTCGACGTATTGGGAGTGGGTGACGATGAGCTTGGCGCGGGAGAGGTGGAACTGTTTGAAAATCTCTTTTGAAGTGCAGAAAGGGTTGGCGGTGGTGACGGCGGCGCCGAGGATGGAGGCGGCCATGAAGGTGAAGACGAACTCGGGGGAGTTTTGGAGGAGGAGCATGAGGACGTCGCCTTTGCGGATGCCGCAAAGGGTGGAGAGGCCGGCGGCGACCTTGCGGGAGATGAGGTGGGTCTGGGCGAAGGTGTAGGATTGGCCAGTGGAGCCCACGAGGAGGCAGGTGCGGTCCGGGTAGAGGGAGGCGTTCTGGAAGCAGTAGGTGTGGAGAGGGACGTCGGTGGGGATGGGGATGGGCGGGAGCTTCGACACGAACACGTGCTCTCTAGGGAGAGATGATAGCGGCGGAGAGGGCGGCTCCGATGAATTTTGAGCTGTCTCCACGGAGGCCACCGACAACATAATTATTTATTTGTTGTTAAAATGGTGGGAGGGAGATTGCAAAGAGGTGATCAGAGAGAGAGAGAGAGAGAGAGGGAGAGGTTTGTTTGTTCTGTAGGTAGATTGATTGAGAGGGAATTTAGGTGTGGTGGAATGTTAAATACAGAGTGGGATAATTGTTTTGTGGAGAGTGCAAGACAAATGTATGTACTGGGGTAGGTGGGATGAACGGAGGAGAATGGTGCGGCCGCTCACTCGACACCTACTCTTCTTTGCTCAATTGATCGTTGATTGATACTGTTAGGGGTCAGTTTGGTAGAGTTTGTGGATTCTCACTTTTTTATATTTACTTTTATATCCTGTATCAAGATGATATATATTATCTGAAAAGACTACAATCTCGTTCGGAACCATTCTACTTGGGATTTTTAACCGTAGATTATGTAGATTAGTGTAGATAAATAAATAATCTACGATTAAAAATCCCGAACAAAATGGTTCCGTAATTATTATAAAAAAATAATTGATTTCGTAAAGAATTGAACGGAGTATAAATTAATACTTTGTATTTGAAATGTTTTTTATGGTAAAATAGTAATATCAATTAAATATTTTTTTTGGGTATAAAGAAAGAGGCCAAAGCCTAAAAGTTTAAGTTACACACATTTCGGGAATAAGAAACGCCAATAAGATCATGTTCTAACCAAGGTCGAACACCATCTGGCAGGACATTAAAGAAGTAATATGATGAGAATGCGGGTCTCGACCCCCAAAGGCGAGAAGGGCCGAGGGTCGAAGTCGCCCGAGAAGGCCGAGAAAAAGGCCAAAACCATGCATGCATGGCCTAAAAGACGGGTACGAGCTCGTACGGGAGGCGCACGAGCACAAGAGGAGCGACATGAGTCGACCCATACGCGGCTGAGGCGATCGACATGCCAAGGCGCGAACCATGGCAGCGAGCGAGAGAGCCACGAGTCGACGCGAAAGCAGGGTAGACAATGAGAGTCCCGTGCGGAGGAAAGGACGTCGAGCCGGCAGCAAGGGCGTGAACACGCGCATTGGCATAGACTCGCATGGTCGAGACCCGAGAACCCCGTAGTGCGATGGCGAGGACTGGATGAGATTCGGGCTAGACGACGCGGGCCTCGGGTAAGGGGACCGATACGCGCGATGGGGGCTCGCGCGAGAATAAAGGCACGCGCGTGGAGATGCCGCATGAGCCCTAGGTGCTCGAGGCATACGAACATGGCGCGCATGCAGACGGGCCTGGATCGAGGAGCTCACATGGACTGAGTAAGCACGAGGGTAGCAAGCATGGGCCAGGGGGCAGACAGCGGGCCAGGTACACCACGCGAGAAAGCACGCGGTGGCGTACGTGGGCGTGATGCACGAAGCCACGAGGCGAGACGCGCGAGTCAGGGGCACGCGAAGGAGAGTGCACGTGAGATGAAACGACGGAGAGACGACGAGGCCTTTGCGATGGGTCTGGGTGGCTCGCGAAGGACGGCTAGCGATTGGGACGACCACGCGATAGGCGATTGGGACAAAGGGCGCGATCAGCGAACCAGCGGTCAAGGCGATGGCTAGGGTTTCGGATGGCGTGCGACGCAAGGGACCGAGATCTTTCTAGATGGCCAAGGGCTGATTCTCTTAGATTATTAGGACTATTAGTATGGTTAGGATTTGGAATAAAAGGCATGTGCCTAAGTAGTTTTGGTAAGTCTTAGATTATTAGATATTTAGTTACCTTAGAACTTTATTTATTTCCATGCATTAGAACTTCTTCTTAGACTAGGACTAGACTTAGTTTAACCTCTATAAATACGCACCATTGTCATTCAATTTAATCAATTCAAGAATTAATCAAAAAACACGAACACTTGTTCAAATTGTCTTGTGAGTTTACTCCTGTGAGTTTACAAACTAGATCGTGTTAGAAATAGGACCAACATCCGATTTTCTTCCACACCTATCGCGAAGTACGAAGACGTCAGAGCGCGTATTAGCACTTATCGGCGATTCAAGGCGCGCGAGCGGCTTATCGACCAAGTCAAGACACGCGATCTTCATTATAATACCCCAACAATCCTTCCGCAGCGAAGGAAGCCAAATGATCGGGTGCAAAAATTCGCTTCGCGGAATACATGTTTCACCTTGACCGTCCAAGCTCGACCTAGACGTTCTTTGATACCCAAAACGAGTCCTGTATGCACCCTGGTAATACATCATCAAAAGATTTAGAGAACCCCACGACGCTCTCATTATCCACTTCTGCTTCGTCTCGCCTAACTCCCAAATCTCAAGCCAAAGTAAGGCCTCAAAATAATCCACATAACTCTCCAGCCATTATCTAGCAAAACCAATTTTCAGAGACAAGCCCCCTAGCCAATGGCCTTGTTCATCACGGATGAGACCACCAGCACACCCCACACCTGACACCCCATTAAAGGAGCCATCCGAGTTCATACAGAATAAACCATAGTACAGAACCCCCACCTGATAACTGATTATTGTGATGGAATGCAGTAGTTCCACACAGCTCGAGACTCGGCTCCTCAGAATCTACATTAAGGCAAGAATATTCTTATAAATAACTTACCCCATTTCTCTTGGAATTTAACTTAATCAATAACTTTATTGCGTAAGTACATTCTTAAAATTTAGTGGAACTCTAAAATCTCGGAAAAAGGCTCGAAAAAGGTTCACGGTGTTAAAATATGGTTTTGGTACGAAAAATAGCCCGACGGCTCGAAAATGGCTCGGTGGCACGGTCACACGAGCAGCTACGCACACGCTGGCGCTACAGGTCGCGGGGCGCTGGGACGCACGCTTGCTTGCTCGAGGACGTGCTGCGGTTGCTGGGGTCGAGGGTACTATCTGCACTGGTACACGCTCAGTGTGCCGTGTTGCAGTATTATGTGATGTATCTGCTTGCGCACTCGGTGGGGAACCTTCGACTTCACTCCTTAACTCCTCTAGGACTAGTCTACTCGCAGGCTTATGATTCATAATATAGTCTTCTTCCAAGAATCTAGCGTTCGTGCTAACGATCACCTTCTGATCCTGGGGACTATAAAATAATCCACCTTTCGTTCCCTTGAGATAGCTAGCAAAAACTCGTGCTTCCGAATGTTTCTCCAACTTGCCAGGTTCATGCACTAACATATGTGCACGACTACCCCATACTCAAAATTGTGAGAAACTGGGCTTGCGCCCTTTCCACATCTCGTAAGGAGTAGTGTCAAGTGACTTCAATGGAACCATGTTCAGAATGTACGATGTTGTTTCCAACGCCATACCCCAGAACGAATCTGGTAACCTTGAATAACTCATCATCGACCTAACCATCTCTATAAGAGTCCTATTTCTTCGCTCTGCAACCTCATTCTGCTGGGGCATGTCGGGTGTAGTCAATTGGGATTCAATCCCAACTTTTGATAAGTATGTCCTGAACTCTCCAAAGAGGTATTTGCCACCTCGATCAGATCGAAGTGACTTGATACTTTTACCATGAAGCTTCTCCACAACTGCGCGATACTCCTTGAATTTCTCAAAGCATTCGGACTTGCAGTGCAACAGTTAAATGTACCCAAAATCTCGAGTAATCATCAATAAATGAGACAAAATACTCGTAACCACCTCTAGCCTGGATCGACCTAGGACCACACAAATCAGAATGACTCAATCCTAGCACTTCTTGGCTTCTATACCCATTTGCCGTAAACGGCCTCTTGGCCATCTTACCTTTTAGGCATGATTCGCAAGTTGGATATTGCTCTTCCAATGGACCAAGATGTCCACTGGCCACTAACTTTTGAATCCTCCTAAGGTTGATGTGCCCAAGTCTAAGGTGCCACAGATATGATTGATTCATCTGCGAAGACTCCTTCCTCTTATTCAATTCAGTTTGTTGCACTGTGGGATAGTTTGGTTTAAGAATATAAAAATTGTCAACTAATGAACCAGAACAAATCAAACGATTTCCATAACGAATAATAACCAAATCATCAAACGTAAATGAAAAACCATCCAAAACGAGTTTAGAAACTGAAACAAGGTTCTTTCTAAAACTAGGAACATAAAGGTAATGTCTTAAAACTAAAATACTACTATCAAAAGATAAAGTAATGTCTCCCACTGCAACAGCCGCCACTTTCGTAGCATTGCCCATGTAGACGGTGACCTCTCCCTCCTAAAGTCGTCTAGTTTTCTGGAACTACTGCAAAGAGTTGCAGACATTATCAGTGGCTCCAGTATCTACACACCAAGTTCTAGTACATACAACCGCGAAACATGTTTCTACGACATTAATAAGAGAGTTACCTTTCTTGAGGAGAGGACAGTCGACCTTCCAGTGTCTTGACTTGTTGCACTTGTGGCATCTCCCTTTCAGATTCTTTGCCATAGTCTGAGGGGCCGGTCGTAGAGCAACCGGAGCATCCTGTGCCTTCGCCTTTCCTATAGAACTTTTTTTCTTCCTGCCCTTGTGAGGCCTGGAAGTTCTAGCCTGCTTGGCGACTAGCACCTGAGGGTTCTGAGTGAACAAGGCTTCTGCCGACTGAAGCTCAGCCAACAGTTCTGGAAGAGCCATATGCATCTTGTGCATGTTGTAGTTCAACCGGAACTGATCAAAGCTCTTCGGCAGAGATTGGGGCAAAATATCTACCTGGGTTTCCCCGTCGATAAAACCACCCGTCACCTCAAGCTCATTGTGTTGCGCCGTGACCCTTAGGCCATGCGCGTGTTCATCAGAGCACTCAAGGCTTCCTGCCTAGTAGCCCTAGACTGATGTCCGAACAGATTTCTGAGTTTGAGGAGTATATAAGCCGCAATGGTCATAGACTGATGCTGATGTTGAAGAACACTCGAAGAAGCCAGAATGTAACACTTCGCAATCTCATCAGCCTTCTTTCACTTAGCATACTGCTCTTTCTCCTGATCAGGAGCATCAGCTGCGGGCTCTGCCGGGCAAGTCTCATTGATGGCAAACTTATAGCCCTCAGCAGTCAACACTATGTTTAAGTTCCTTTTCCAATCAATATAATTAAGACCAGTAAGCTGATTTTCTTTTAGAATGACAGTTAACGGATTG